TTGTTTCTCTTACTTGCTAGAATATGAAATGGGAAAGCAATATGGGCAACACCAGACAGTTGGACAACAGAAGATAAACAGATAAACACTATTCCATTTCTTATCTTTATACACTAGAACTTTTAATATCAACACTCTTTTAATTCCCTTAATTCTAATATTCCTTTAATTCTTTTTTTTTTTTGGTCGGTCGTGGGGCTTGAACTCTGGGCCTGGGCGCTGTCCCTCAGCTCTTCAGCTCAAGGCGAGCGCTCTACCACTTGAGCTACAGCGCCACTTCCGGTTTTCTGGTGGTTTATTGGAGATAGGAGTCTCACGGTCTCTCCTGCCAGGGCTGGCTTTGAACCGCGATCCTCAAATCTCAGCCTCCTGAGTAGCTAGGATTACAGGCGTGAGCCACCAGCACCCGGCTCCTTTAATTCTTATACTAGAAAAGTATAGAAAAAAGTCAGTTTCCAGAAAACAAGTTAGGTATGTTTCCACTTGCTGTGTAAATAGGAAATTTTTGTGAAGAGACCAAATGAATACAACGGAGAATTGAAATTTAAAGAAAATCAAAACTTACTAAGTTTATACAAAAGACAGTATATTTATCAAATCCAAAGAAAAAGTAGCTCATATACCTGACTATAATTATGACCTTTCATAGAGACAAACAGTTCAAGTATGTGTGTTTTCAAGGAAATGAACAACAGAGTAGGAAGCAACTATAAACTTAGTCTGATGAAGTTGAAAGTAGAGGAGAGGAGAGAAAGTTCGAGCTACTGATTTCCACCTGTCCTCACCCCGAGCCCTGAAAGGACAGGCCTGGGTGGAGTGTTGACTGTCAAGCAAACTGGGTGTGAGGCATGCAGCAGAGGAGATACCACTTTCCCTAGCAGAAGGGATCTTGATATTGCTCTACTACTTTTTTAATATAGGAATGCCTTACTTACGAGTTCACTCATCAACCTAGTCTCAATTTCTATTTTTTGTTTTATTTTAGCCAATACTGAACTTGAACTCAGGGCCTTAGTTATTTCTTGGCCTTCTTCACAGCAGTGCTCTCTCCCTCTGGAGTCATGCCTCCAGTCGAACATTTTGGTAGTTAATTGGATATGTAGTTATGCAGACACTTCTGTCTGGGCTGTCTTCAAACAGCAATCCTCTAGGTCTTAGCTTCCTGAGTAGGTAGAATTACAGGTGTAAGCCACCAGTGTCTAGCTTAATTTGTCTTAAAATTAACTCATCTCTGCTAGGTACCAGTGGCTCATATCTGTAATTCTGGCTACTCAGGAGCCTGAAATCTGTGGATCACAATTTGAAGCCAGCCAGGGCAGGAAAGTCCAGAGACTCATCTCCAATTAACCACCCCCCCCCCCCAAAAAAAAATGGATGTGGGGCTGTGGCTCAAGTGGTAGAGTGCTAACCTTGATCAAAACAGATTAGAGACAGTGCCCAAGCCCTGAGGCTCAAGCCTCAGTACCGGCACACACACACAAAATTAACTCATCCCCCTTTTCTATCCTAACAAATACCATGGATAATCCTTTATCTCCACTTCCCTTTTTCCTCAAAGATTAAGAACTTCAAAAAGTCACTCTTACTAACAGCAGAGCTCTCTCTACTCTCCCTAATGGGAGACAAACAATTGCCAAAACCAATGGACTAAATATTTTCTAGGCTTCTCTTCTCCCTTAAAAGTCTATAATTACATATAGGACAAGGCCACACATTTGACAGACACCCTCTAAAGCTATGTACATAGTGTTGAACACACTTTCATTCTTCATTGTCTGCCGGCCTCTTTCACTTTCCTGAGGACATGGAAGTGGCCCACATACGGTTTTCCTCTGACACATAGAAGGGGCTGACTGCACAGTGGGCTTACAAGGAAGGACTCTTGCTCTGAACATCCTCCCATACGGATAGAAACTCCAGTACCTATATGAATTTATAACATTAAGGAAAAGCTAATGGTGTAAGAGGTTGTGTGTAATAGTTTCAGCAGGCATGAGTTAAGTAGATGAACATGGAGGTAAGCGGAAGGTAGGTCTGGGTCAGGGGTACGTGAACGGTGAAGTTCTGAACAGTCAAAGGTAGTACATCAACTCAGTACTAAGACCTATAAAGTGAAGCAAAAGGAACTGCAGTTCGGGGAGGTGGAGTTCCAAAATCGTGCCATTTGGAATTGGACCGGGATTTCTTTTATACTATTATAAATGTAGCTGAGCTTGTGCTCCTCGAGAGGGCAAAGGATAAGAGAGAAGAACAGCCACAGAAATGGCTGTGACATCCCAACTGGGGGCAGTGCCAGCCTTAGAAAAGCAGGAACAAACCAGGGGCTGGCAGAGGACTGATCGCCAGGGACTGTCTGGGAGTCAAGGTTGTTTATTTGCAAATACCAACTCCTCTGTTCTTAAAAATCACAATTTTTATGGGAAAGGGGAGGATGAAGGCAAGAGTTTTCCAGAAAGATAAGTGAATACGGCTTTCTAATTTAATAAGCTAAATTATTTATTCCAACCTACCACTCTTTCTGATGTAGATGGTACTGCTATGGAAATAACATACTACATATTTTAATGTACTGAGCAGTCAGTTACATCAGGTAATACCATGTGTATCAGGACAGCTCACTTATGATTACACTACAGAATTAGCCAGAAGTATTTGTTCCTTCAGGAATGACAAAAGCTTCAATTTTGAATAGAAATAGGTATATTCTGGTATAAATATTTCAAACATAACAAAAATGATTTCATTTCAATAACCTAAAAACTTTGACAATAAGTTTCTTTAGTGGAAAATTATAATAATCCACTCCTGAATATAATACTCAGTCAAAATATTAGAAATGAGCAGGTGCCAAGTGGCTTGTGCCTATAATCCTAGCTGCTCAGGAGGCTAAGATCTGAGGACAGAGGTTTGAAGCCAGCCTGGGCAGGAAAGCCCCTGAGACTCTTAACTCCAAATAACTACCAAACAACTAGGAATGGAGCTGTGGCTCAAGTGGTAGAGTGTTAGCTTTGAGCATAAAAGCTCAAGGAAAATGTCCAGGTTCTGAGTTCAAGCCCCAGCATTGAACCCCCTCCCCCACCCCCTGCCACCAAAACAAAAAACAAAATCACATTAGGAATAAAACACATAAATAGTTTTTCTAGCTCTAAAAACAGTTCCATATACAATATTAGCAAATGAATGTTTATTTCTTCATTTCTGGAAGGTCTAAATGTTCAACAAATCCACAAAATACTACACAACCAGAATTACTGTGTCATCTCATGTTGAATGGAGAAAATTAATGTGACTAGTAGTACTGTAAGGAGAATGAAGACATTATACATATAAGCATAATTTCTAAATAATTAAGTCTATAGAAATAATTCAGGAGAAGAAATGATAATGCAGTCAATTTATAAGATATCTGGTATATGTGTTCACTGAGATCGCTGAGATCACCGGTAAGAGATGCTGATAGTATAAAAACTGATCTGTACTCATTGTATTACTATAAAATCCTTTGGATAATTTGATTTTTTAAATGTTATTTTTTACATGACACCAGAGGTTCATTTTAAACCAATATAGAAGTTCAACAGTAAAGTACTGAAAAGAAAAGAAGGTAAACAAAAATCATGAAAAATAAAAATGAACAATTATTCCCATAGTGATAATAATCAAATAAACATTCTAATCTTTAAAATTATTGCAAAGAATGAAAACAGATTCTCCAATGGCCACAGCATTTTTCAATGTGTGTGTGTGTGTGTGTGTGTGTGTAAATATATATATATATATATATATTTTTTTTTTTTTACTTTAATAATGATACCCACTACATTTGAGATGAGGAAGCATTTGGTCCACAGTTAAATTTCCATGTGCATGTTCTAAAACTGACTGCATTACTAGGCAAATTCTTCAAATCAATTCACTGATCTCTTACTGACGGATGCATTGGTTTGAAAAATCAAAGACTTACGTCATCCAAAAAATCAATCAGTGAAGATGAGGAAGAAGAAAAGGAATCCTATTTAACGAATTCAGCAATAAAAAAAAAAATAGAAAACATGGATGAAGCAATTTAATAATAATAAATTAAAAATTTTGCAAAACAATTGAAAGGCAAATGACATTAATTTAAATAAATAAGCAAGAAAAGCAGTCACTATCATTGTTCTCAAGAAACTTAAGAGATTACTTTTTAAAGAATGGTTCTTTTTCCCTTTCCCATAGATATGAAATAGAATTTGTATACTATACTCAAAGTATAATAAAATAAAGCTCATGGACAAATCATTAATAATCAAATTAGATGTATGCATTTAGAAAATAACAACTAAAAGTAACAGAATCTTTGGTTCCCAATCTTCCCACTGGAATGCAAGCAGTATAAAAGGTCTTTGTCTTTTGTGGCCAATACTGTAGCTCTAGCACTGAGATCATGCCTTGCACAGACACCTGATTCTGTGTGCTGAATAGGACAATCACCAGTTTAACTATTTTGAGACATAAATGAACTTTCTGACTCTAGTGCAATTTGAAAATACTGAAGTGAAGAGTAACAGAGTTACAGAATTACTATTGCATAACTATGAGTCTGCCTAACAGGGTCTTTGTAATAATTTTTAACTAGAGTCATCCCTTACCATCTGCTTTTTAGAAAATGCATTGGTCTGGCACAAGAACCATATTGTGTTGAGGTGATGTGAGCAAAAAGTCAAAAGTATTTCAAAAGTTGGGGTCTGTTCTACATATATAGCTTCTTATGGGACTTGAAAATGCTTTGAAGCGTAACCCAACTTTGGTTTTTAGACCTTTCTCAGATGTTGGTGAGAACCAAGAATGACTGCACTCTCCATGAGAATGCAGACCACAGCCCTCCCTTCGCAGCCTCACTCACAGGAGACTCGAGGTCCTCGTATGTGGGCCACAGTAAAGCCATTATACTGTAAGTGGAAACCACACAGTGTATTTTAAGTTTACCATGGAGAGCATCTGAAAAGTTCAATACTTACTTCAAATTGATCCAGAGCGTCGGTAGGCGCATTCAGAAATGCCAAGAAAGAGTGCTGTGAGTCCTGGTGCTCTATGCCTAGGAGACAGCAGCATTACTTCTTTTAAACTAGAACACTTAAAAGATAAGTTTTATGGATAACCTTTCTGTTTCTACCTATTAAAGCTGGCCATAAACTAATTCAGAGCTCAGAATTATTATTATATTTATGTAGTAAAAAATATACATTAATATTTCAAAGATTATCATCATATGTAGTTGAGAATAGGAGTTGTTTATATCTGATTTTTCTAAACAAATTTATCACCAAATAAGGTTTCTGTTTTGAAATACTTTCACTGTTGGCAATACTGGGGTCTCAACTCCGGGGTGTAGACCTGCCAGGTGGGTGCTCCATTACTTGACCATGTCCCCAGACCTTTTTGCATTAGTTTTTTTTTTTTGTTATTTTGCCAGGAGATAGCCTCAGACTATGTGATCCTTTTACCTATGGTTCACATGTCACTGAGATTACAAGCATGTGTACCATCATGCCTGCTTATTGAATAAAACCTAAACTAAACCCTTAATCCTCCCATTCTTTACTTCCTGACTAGCAGCAATTACAGACGTGTGCCACTGTACTAAAAACAAGCTGAATATTCTTTAAAAACTACTTGTACCATGCATATAGCATCATTAATATAATTATACATTCTTTAATAAGATTATAAACATCTTCAGTAAAATTGTAAGAAAATAATAGAATAAAATAAATGTACTTTAGTATAGAAAAACATTTCATTTTAGATATTTGTTTACTGAATTAATGAAGAATCCATGAAAATCCTAGTTTTTCTCAAATGAATTTTTTTTTGGGTCCAGTCGTGGGGCCTGAACTCTGGGCCTGGGTGCTGTCCCTCAGCTCTTCAGCTCAAGGCTAGCGCTCTACCACTTGAGCCACAGTGCCACTTCTGGCTTTTTCCTTATGTGGTGCTGAGGAATCGAGCCCAGGGCTTCAGGCATGCAAGGCAAGCGCTCTACCACTGAGCCACCTTCCCAGCCCCTCTCAAATGAATTTTTAAAAATACATATGTATTTATTGGCTCTGGTAATAAATACAAATAATAAGAACTAGGAATGATAAAATGGAAAACAAACCCCACCTAGTTTTGACTTGCAATCCCTAGAAACTGATTTGTGTGCTGAGTTACTTCCTAAGGTAAATCCACAGTTGCCAGACAGGTAACATGTTCAGAAATGTATACAGCCAACAAAGACTCATAACAAACCAGGGATCTGATAGGGAGTAATGTAAGGAAAGGCCCTTGACTTCATTTTGTAGGTATCAGTCCTATTACTTAAGTAGCATAGCACACTATGTTATATCATGTTTTGGAATATATGTGAAATCTAAAGAGAAAAGGCTTGCTGTCATATGCCTTCAGTAAGCAGGGTGAAAAGCTTAGGTAAAGCCTAGATCTAATTCAATCTAGTCTAAAAGTGATGTGGTCAACATTATTTGAAGGGCACATTAGCTGTATTCTGCTTTAGTTTCTTTGCTTCTGAACTGCCTGGGCTATAAGTCACCCATATTTATGCATTCTGTTCATCATCTCACTGAACAATTTATTCCAGATGTTTTATGCACTGCATAAACTAAGACTAATCATGGTTGGCATCTACATGTGATGGTTTATGCTTCTATCTGAGTTCTTATTCACTTTTTGGGCTCCTTCCTTTCCTTCTTCAATAAGAAATTCTATTAGGGGCTGGGAAGGTGGCTCAGTGGTAGAGCGCTTGCCTTGCATGCCAGAGGCCCTGGGTTCGATTCCTCAGCACCACATAAGCAAAAAGAAAAAAGCCGGAAGTGGCGCTGTGACTCAAGTGGTAGAGCGCTAGCCTTGAGTTGAAGAGCTTAGGGACAGTGCTCAGGCCCAGAGTTCAGGCCCCATGACCGGACCCAAAAAAAAAAAAAAAGAAATTCTATCAGCAAAAACCTACAAACATCAACTATTATTTTAAACAGCTTTTCAGTGTTGGTGACTTTATGTTGTTCTCCAATCTTTACAATTTTTATTTATTTATTGGCCAATACAGAGCTTAAATTAAGTGGCCTCATACTTGCTCAGCTTGTTGTTTACAGTTGGTACTCTACTTTTAAGGCTATACTTCCAACACAACCTCTACAACTTTACAAGCAGATTCAAAAATCCAACAAACTTTATCTCACTGTATGGATTAAAACAAAAAAACAGAAAAAACAAAAGGCAGGGGGGCACCAGTGGCTCATGCCTATAATTCTAGCTGCTCAGGAGGCTGAGATCTGAGGATCACAGTCCAAAGCCAATCAGAACAGGAATATTCTTGAGACTCTTATCTTCAATTAACCACAAGAAAACCAGATGTGGTGCTGTGGCTCAAGAGGTAGAACACTAGCCTTGAGATGAAGAGTTCAGAGACAGTTCCCAGGCCCAGAGTTCAAGTCCCAAGACTGACCAAAAAAAAAAAAAAAATCAGAGAAGCCTTAGACCAAATAAAAAGCCCATTAGTTACTGTAGTACTTGGTGATAAACTTTGTTAGGAAAACAAATTTTAGATAACTGTATATAAGTATCATTTACTAAAAAAGACATTCTGTATTTTATAAAATTAAATCTTTTTTTTTTTTGGTTGTCATGGGGCTTGAACTCTGGGCCTGGGTGCCCATCCCTCAGCTCTTCAGCTCAAGGCTAGCGCTCTACCATTGAGCCACAGCACCACTTTTGGTTTTCTGGTGGTTTATTGGAGAAGAGTCTCAGGGATGTTCCTGTCCTAGCTGGCTTTGAAACACAATCCTCAGATCTCAGCCTCCTGAGTAGCTAGAATTACAGGTGTGAGCCACTGGCGCCCAGCGATCTCTACATTCTTAACATCCATATTATGGGAAGCATAGAGTTATTAAACACTTAAGAGATAGTCCACATTAATCGAAAGATGTAAAAATAAAGTTTTCAAGAAACCTATAATAAATTCTGGGAGCTCTTATAGGACAAAAAAATGGAAGCATCTGGAAGAAGATGCTGCTTTGTGAAAGTAATTCTTACTGAGTTTCCCTGTTAATACTGAATTTGATACATTTCTAGTTATTTTATAGATTGTCTTCTCAGCTATTCTTGGAGTGATCCTCCACATGACTAAGTACATTTTAGAAACATAAAAAGGGCTAACAAATATGACCCCATTACTGGGGAGGCAGAGGTAGAAAGCTGTGGTTCAAGGCCAGCTTGGGCTACACAGTGAGACCTGTCTCAGAAAACCAACACACAGAAGTCCTCTCATAAAAGTATCCTTACTAAGGTCTGGATGTTAACACACACTGCCACTGTCAGAGTAATTACCTCATCTGATGACACTTGAAAACATTATAAAATGAAGTTTTCCAAATCACACAAGTATTATTCATTAAATAGTTCAGGGCATTGAGGGCAAAGTGACTTCTTGATGTCTAAAGACAGGGCTCATCTTGAAGTCTGGTACCTCAGCCTCCTGGCAACTGGGATTACAGGTTCACATCACCACACCCAGCTGTTACTATAAACCCTCAATGTATAGTAAGTCAAATATAGTGAATCAGAGCTCCATCCACCAAGCATGGGTTAGGTTATGAACATACCACATGCACATACAGTTCCAAGGCAGTTCCAGATTGCTAAATGTGAACAAAAAGTGAACTCTTAACACAATAAAATATTTACAGCTATACAGTAAGTCCTGAGCGATGCAAACATACATGCCCATACCCTTTTCAGATCTAAGCTCTTCAGTGTCCTTTAGCAGCTGTTCAATTTCTGAAAGTAGTTCCAAGTTCTTCTTCTCTGAATCTTTTAGTTTACTTAAGTAAAAAGAAGAAAAAAGTAATTAATTTTTTTGCTGTGAGCCAACTCTCAAGGAGCTGGATTTACTTGGTTTAAATGTCAGTCCTGTAAAATTAGGGGATAAGCTACTACCATAGGTGTGACAAATTCACCCTGCCAAATGCCATTATGCAACTTAAAGTTTGGTTTTTTTTTTTTTTTATTTAGGGGGGATTGGTTTTGGTGCTTGGCTGTTGGGCACTGCTCCCAAGCTCTTTTGCTCAAGGTTAATGCCCTACCACTTTGAGCACAGCTCCACTGCCTGTTTTCTGGCAGTTAATTGGAGATAAGCATCTCATGGACTTTCATGCCCAGGCTGGCTTTGACCTGTCTTCCTCAGATCACAGCCTCCTGCTTGGCTAGGATTACAGGTGTGAACCACTAGCACCCAAATGCAATTAAGTTCTATAGAGCACAGCTCAACCCATTGAGTACAGAAAACAAGCGGTATTCTTTTTTTCTTTTCTTTTTTTTTGTCGGTCATGGGGCTTGATCCCTGGGCCTGGGCGCTGTTCCTCAGCTCTTCAGCTCAAGGCGAGCGCTCTACCACTTGAGCCACAGCACCACTTCTGGTTTTCTTAGTGGTTTACTGGAGATAAGAGTCTCTCGGACTTTCCTGCCCAGGCTGGTTTTGAACTGCGATCCTCAGATCTCAGCCTCCTGAGTAGCTAGGATTACAGGCATGAGCCACCAACACCCAGCTAAGTGGTACTCTTTCTAATACAGTGGAGAAGGCTCTGTGGTTCCCATGGCAGAAGCTACTGGTTAGGTTATAAGGGACAATGTCTGGACCTGAAAGTGTATTTACTATCTTGCCCCTTTATAATAAAAGTTTGCTGAAACTAAGTTAAATTACTAAAATATGTCATAAGATCAAAGATTAGTTAAAAAATGTGTTTGACTTTCTCATAAACATGAACAAAAAACATACTCTTTCTTATATATGGACATGCTCTGTTTTCAGAGCAAACATAATTTTAATTTCCAATTTGACTTGTACCCCTGCTTCATGAAGAAATGTGTAAATCCCAATGTCCTGAGTACAGGAAGAAACAGATTGTACTCACTCTAAACTATAATACACAAAATATCATTAAATAGCTCTTCACACTGGGTTTGATTCATATTTTCCAGAAAAAATACTCTTTTCAATGGCATATAATCACAACATACAAAGAATACTCAAGTCTTAATCTGTGTCATTTTTAACAAAAAAGTTTGTAATTCAACAGGATGCTGGCATATCAGCAGCTGTGTTCTGATTAAAGATTTTAATGACTGAAGTTTAGGGCCTCTGCCATCACATCATTAAAAGCTGAGCTGATATTTCTTTTCTACTTTTAGAAATTTAGATATTCTGAGCACCCAATAGATTTTTATATTTGTAGTTTCATTTGTATATCACCTAGACTTATTTTAGAACTAATGTAATTATTTTTATTTATCATTTATGTATCAGGACAATGATTTGCTCTACTCTTGTGAAAGAATAGAGGGGATGTATCTACTACCTGTCTGAGACAGTTTACTTTTTAAAAAAAATACAAAAATAATGAAAAATTTGCCATTATGAAATTATCACTATAACCATCATTTGTAAAATACCTATGGCAGAACACGATTATTTTCTCTGACTATATGTTGCATTTTTATACACCTATGACAATTCTTGAAGGTGAAAGAACTTCAGATTTGATAGGATAAAATTTAAGCATCAACTAAACTTTATGAGGAAAAACAAATACTGGAATATTACCTAATAATTCCTCTTTATGGGTAAGCAAACATGTTTAAAAAGTCTTGAAAGCATTTATTTCCATTCAAATCTTTATAACTGTTTTGGTCACAACAGCTTTTTTAAAAAAATTGCACATAAATAATTAAACATGAAACTTCTCCCCAAATAATTTTTCAGGAACATCAGGAATTATTTGAATAGTGCCACACTATTCAATCTTACCATTCTGTTACTATGTGAGTCGCCTTAACCTTGTTCAGCTCTTCTTGAATGGCCTGTTTGGCTCTTATCTCTGCATCAAGGGCTGACTGCAGCTCCAGTCTAGCTGACATGTCTAGTTTTGCAAAACGACGCATTTTCCAGGGCATGTCCTACAAAATAATAAGAATGTTTATCTTAAATATTAAACTTTGGTTGTCCAAGTGAATCCACAAGCACTATTCTCTAACAACAGCATAGAATGGAAATGTCTTCCATTAAATGCAGAAACACATATAAATGGGTGCTTTCTATACTTATTTGCAATAATAGCTTATCTATATATATATGTATTTGCAATCATAGTTTATCTATACGTGTATTACAGCTAACGAAGATGTGTTGCATCTTCCTAAACTAAAAAAAGACCTAAATGAACTGATTTTCACGAAAAATTTTACAGTATGAAAAAGTCTAAAAAAGTGGATATAAATAATCAGATTTATTAGTATGTTTTGAGGCTTCATTTTTCTAAAATGATAAGCTTCCATGCAAAACGCAGAGCTTACTGTTGCTCGGGTACCCAGGCTGGAATTTCTTAGTGCCTCCAATTCTTCGGTCATTTTAGAAGCGAGGGCCTGAAGATACCCTCGCGCATCCTTCTCATCACTGACCCTGAAAACAACAAGACCTCAGTAAGATAGGCATTAAAGCTCTATAAGGCAGCGACAGAAATTAAAGGTATTAATCAGTAAAACTTTCAAAAGATCTACCACCAGGCAACACTTAGGAAAAAGTTTACTAAACTATTAGTTGTATTTATGGTAAAGTGAACAATGATTTTTAAAAAACCTGCTTGGGGCTGGGAAGGTGGCTCAGTGGTAGAGCGTTTGCCTTGCATGCCTGAGGCCCTGGGTTCGATTCCCCAGCACCACATAAGCAAAAAGAAAAAAGCCAGAAGTGGAGCTATGGCTCAAGTGGTAGAGCGCTAGCCTTGAGCTGAAGAGCTGAGGGACAGCGCCCAGGCCCAGAGTTCAGGCCGCAGGACCAAACCCCTCCCCACCCCCCAAAAAAAAAAACAAAAAACAAACCTGGTTACTTTTACCTGACAAATCAATAAATCTCTTACCTTTGAGCCACAAAATTACAACTCTTTAAATTTAATAATTAACATACATGTGTGAGTGTTGAGTCTTTCTGAAGAATTCTTAGGCCAATCTAACTAGGGGTGAGAGGGAATCTCAGGGTTTTTTTTTTTTTTTTTTGGTTGGTCATGGGGCTTGAACTCTGGGCCTGGGCACTGTCCCTGAGCTCTTCAGCTCAAGGAGAGTACTCTACCACTTAAGCCACAATGCCACTCCCAGTTTTCTGGTGATTAATTGGAGATAAGAATCTCACAGACTTTTCTGTCTGGGCTGGCTTTGAACCATAATGTTCGGACTTTAGCCTTCTAAGTAGCTAGGATTATGGGTGTGAGCCCATCTGGCATTCAATTTTTTTTTTTTTTTTTTCAGTCGTGGGGACTGAACTCTGAGGCCTGGGTGCTGTCCCTCAGCATTTAAGCTCAAGGCTGAAGACTCTACCACTTGAACCATAGCACCACTTCCAGCTTTTTCTGCTTACGTGGTACTGAGGAACCCAGGGCCTCATACATGTGAGGCAAGCACTCTACCGAGCCACCTTCCCAGTCCAATTTTTTTTTTATTTGCTGTTTTGATTTGCATTTCCTTTCTGGCCAGGGATGATGAGCATTTCCTCATGTTCTTTGCCATTATTACCTCTTCTGAGAAGTCTCTCCTTAGCTCCTTCTAGTGATTGGTTTATTAGATTTGGGAAGGGTTAGTTTCTTGAGCTCCTATCTTTGTCTGATGTATTGCTGGTAAATATTTTCTAGTCTCTTAGTTGTCTTTCTGGTTTGGTAACTATGTCCTTTGCTGTGCAGAAACTTTTTAGTGTGATGCAATCCCATTTGTCAAATCTCTTTCCTATCTGCTGTGTCCCTGGGACTCTTGAAAATGCTTCTACCTAACCTTGTGAGTGAGTTCTAGTGTTTCTCCTACTTCATCTTGCTGTAATTTCAAAGTTTCAGGTCTGATGTTGAAGTCTTTAATCCACTTTGAGTTGATACCTGTGCATGGTGACACACTGGGATCCACTTTTAGCTTTCTGTGAATGGATGTCCAGTTTTCCCAACACCAAGTATTGAAGAGGCTATCTTTTTCCCACTATATATCTTTGACTCCTTTATCAAATATCAAATAACTGCAAATATATGGTTTTATTTCTGGTCTTCTAGTCTGTTCCATTGATCTTTTGGTCTATTTTTGCACAGCTGTTTTTGTTATTATAGCTCTGTAGCAGAACTTGAGGTCTGGGATTGTGCCTTGAACTGCTTTGGCTATTTGAGGTATTTTGTTGCTCCGTATGAATTTTTGGAATGTTTTCTCTGTCTCCATGAAGATTTTGATGGGGATTGCATTAAATTTGTAGAGCATTTCTGGCAGTATGGATGTTTCTTACAATAATTCTACCTATCCATAACCACGGAAGGTCTTTCCTGATTAAAGAAAATCTTTGATTTCTTTCTTCAAATTTTTATAGTTTTTGCTATAAAGGTCTTTTGACTTTTTGGTTAGGTTTATTCCTAGTTTCTTTTTGTTGTTGTTGTTTGAAGCTACTAAAAATGGAGTTGTTTTTCTGATTTTCCCCTTCTACTTGTGCTTTGTTGAAATGCAGAAAGGCTACTGATTTTTGTCGGTTAATTTTGTATCCTGCTACTTTGCCAAAGTTATAGATAAGCTCTAGAAGCTTGGGGATGGAACCTTTTGGGTCCTTTAGATAGAAGATTATATCATCTACAAATAGGAATAGCTTGACTTCTTCTTTACCTATGTGAATCCCTTTTGTCTATTTTTCTTGCCTTATCTCCCTAGCTTTTTTTTTTGGGGGGGGGGTCTGGTTGTAGGGCCTGAACTCTGGGCCTGGGCGCTGTCCCTCAGCTCTTCAGCTCAAGGCTAGCTCTCTACCACTTGAGCAACAGCGCCACTACCGGCTTTTTTCTTATGTGGTGCTGAGGAATCGAACCCAGGGCCTCATGTATGCAAGGTGAGCGCTCTACCACTGAGCTACCTTCCCAGCCTCTCCCTAGCTTTTAAAGAACTGTATTGTGCATATCATCTTCTCTCTTCCTAAATGAACCCTGTCAGAGTATTAAGTATTAGTTAATTAATTGAGAGAACACGAGAGAAAAGAATTAGATAAACGAAGAAAATCAGATCTGCATTAGGCTTTTAAAGTTGAGTAGTTATTTTAATAGTTGAGACAGAGTTTCAACTTTAGGGAATATACTGGGTAAGTGAATAAGTTAAGCACTTGGGCAATTAAAGTAACAATGGAAGCAGTAACCTTGAGCAAAAAAACAACAACAACAAACAAACAAAAAAACCCCTCAAAGCCCTGAATTCAAGCCCAGAACCAACACCACAAAACAAAACAAAAAGTCCCAGGGACAATTATTATAGCTATCTCATAGATCAGTTGGGCTAGCTAAATGAGAGTATATGTCCATTTCCAGCCCAATGCTCTAATATTCTTTAGTCAACACAGCTATTACTATATACAAATGAAGGCTATTGAATACGTTTCAGGTGAACAGATTTAAGTAAGGCGAAATAAATACTTCATAACTGAAACTCACGACTGGTTATAAAACATCCCTGGTTCCTCTATACTGTACAACTCTTCACTCTATGTTTTATTTTGTAGTTATAACAATGATCTTTCTTTTGGGTCTCATAAAAATCTAAATAGCTTTAATAACACCTTATTCACCAGAAATTTAATTCCAAATTTTGTATTTCTTATCCTAACCTTATTCCATTTTAGAAATGTATCAAAAATCTCTACTTAGATGTCTCAGGGTAGCTTCAGACTCACACAAACAAAACTAGCTACAATTGCCTGTGTCATCTTCCCCACACAAAAACCATGTTTTCTTCTTTCTTCTCTCCTCCTCCTCCTTTCCCTCCTCCTCTTTCTCCTCTCCCTCCTTCTTTTCTTCTTTTTCCTCCCCCAACCTCTCCTCCTCATTCTTCTTTTTTTTGTGCCAGTACTGGAGCTTAAAAGTAGGGCTTCCAGCTCTCATTTGTCTTTTTCCAGATCTCAACCACTTGAGCCACACCTCCACTTCTGGTTTATTGCTGACTAACTGGAGTCAGAGATTTATCTGCCCCAGCTGGCTCTGAACCCCTTATCCTCAGATCTCAGTCTCTTGAGTAGGATTACAGATCTGAGCTACCACTGTCTGCTCCATTGTTTTCTTAAACTCAGAATGACAGAAATATTCATTCTTCCTTATGCAATGCCCTTTATTATATTTAATAATTAGGTTCTATAGTTTTTTCTTTTATAATATTCCCACATTTGTTTACTTTTCCCTAAACTTCCATTTCATCTTGAACATACTAAGAGCTACCTTCCTGCTACACCATTTTAATCAATGCTATTACCTTTTGAGGAAATCTTCTTGCTCTTGTAAATAAAGTTCAAATTCTTATCCAGTATTCATTACAGTATTATTGCATTAACGTTATTAATCTCTTTTCTCTTATTTTACACAAATGTTCCAAATTCAATCAGCCTAAGTGAGGGATACTTCATTCATCTCAGTGTTGTAAGACAAAGGATATTCTGAAAGAAGTATTTTGGATTTCAGAGTTTTTCAAGTTTTGGGGCATTTGCATAGGTTTTATTGGTTGATCATTTCTGGGCTGGAATCATAAACTCCAAAATCCTATAAACAATAAAAAATTTAAAAAAAATAAAAGGAAATAGCCCGAGTCTTCTCCTCTTTACTGGTATTTTATTTCAGAGTTAGCTTTCAAAGTAGGTGAGACTAAGGAACTTTTGAGACCAAGGAATGTATACCTTGCTATTAGATATGAACAGTCAGCCCTCTGAATTCATGAGTCCCCTCTCCCCCATCTACAGACTCAGTCAACCACATTTAGTTACAAATGTCTTTGGAATTGAACATACACTTTTTTCTCACCATTATTCCCTAAGTAATAGTGTGACTATTTATATAACACTGACATTGTATCAGTGTAAGCAACTAGTGGTGACTCACAGTGTATGGAAGGATATATTGAACTGCATGTGCTTATTATACCCCTGTACATTTGGAACTTGGGCATCTGTGGATTCTAGGTTGCAAAGCAGGATCCTGGAACAACTTCCTCAGATACTAAGGGGTAACTGCACTCATCTGGTATCAGAAGTTATCAGTCCATTTTAAATAACAATTGTTACTTCTCAGTTTTTCAGCAAACTTTACTAAGTGCCAGTGTAAAGTTAGTGTTTTGGACCATTGTATGAGAATCTTCAACTCCATCCTTCCTATTAAAACTTTCTAGAGAATCCTGATTAAAGCTTCCTTCGTGGCCAGGCACAAGGCTGCACACCTGTAATCCCAGAACTCGGGGGCTGAAACACAGGAACTGGAGGCCAGCCTAGGTCATATGTTGAATCTCCCTACCTCAAAAAATAAAAATGCACAAGGCTCCCTTCCTTCACCAGGATCACATCCCACCCCAGTGAATGTATTAGGCCAGTTATGGAATGTGGCAGGGGTCTAGCGTCACAGGCCACACACAGGCTTTGGACATGTCAACTTAGAAAGATATTCTCAACTCCACTTTTTGCTATTCCGCTGCACTTTTTTGATGTTAAAAACTGGTGGCATATTAAAATCACTTCACTTTAGAAATGTGGAATGGATAATGTGACTATAAAATGAACTACTAACTGTACTTTTGGGAATACAGCAAAGTCTCTACTATCTGGGCTTTGAACAGGGATATTCATAAGGCAGAGGTTATTTAAGGAAAGAGCTCTCTAGTTAAGCCAGTATCAAAATTCTTAAGTTATATGAGTAGTTACTTAAAATGCAGTGTTTATTCACTTTTGGTTTTATTTAAGGAAGAGGTTATTAATTAGATAAAGTAAAGAAAATGGAAAAATATTTGAGCCAGAATATGAGCACAAAGAGCAACAAATTAATTGGTCTAGAGAGACCACACAAAGAAATTAGCTGTTTTGAAATAAAAAGTTAAACACAAAAAGTTAAGCTACTTGTTTTTTTAAGAAATAAAAAGTCCTCACTACAGTCTACTTTCTCTATGTGGCATAAAATATACAAATTTTTACAATCATCATAATAATCATGTAGTCAATGTATTGTGACAGTTTTGCTAGGCTAAATAATTAAGTCCCAGCGATTACAGAATAGTTGGTAATACAGAGTTGTAATCATTTAGGAGTTTCTTCAGCCTTTCAAGGACTAACTGACCTAGGAGAGTATTTCTATTTTTGCTTTTTCTTCTGAGACCAGGACTTGAACTCTGTATCTACTGCTTTCACTCACTTGCTGTTGCTCTACTACCTGAGCCATGCCTTTGTATTTTTTATTTGTAGGAAGAAATATCAGGTTCCAATGGAGCTGTGTAAAAGTGGTACAGGACATTTATGAAGTTGGGAAAACACATTGAAGATCAGCAATAAAGCTATACTTTTCAAAGTAAATTATTTTCTGTAGAAAACAAATAAGATAAAATGTCAACAGCTTCTTAGAATTTATACCAACTTGTCCACTTGTTCAAAATTACCCGAAGTATTTTTTTTTTGGATCCGGTCATGGGGCCTGAACTCTGGGCCTGGGCGCTGTCCCTCAGCTCTTCAGCTCAAGGCTAGTGCTCTACCACTTGAGCCACAGCGCCACTTCCGTTTTTTTTTTCTTTTGCTTATGTGGTGCTGAGGAATCGAACCCAGGGCCTCATGCATGCAAGGCAAGCACTCTACCGCTGAGCCACCTTCCCAGCCCCTACCCGAAGTATTTTAAAGAGAACTCACCACTGAATTATTTCTGTGATCTGAGCTTCCCAATGTGCAACTGATTCCTTCTTGTCTGCTAGGTCCTTGACCTCTTCTTCTAACTGCTGGTTGTGCATACTTAAGTTCTCATACAGAGTGGTAAGCTGAAAGTCAGATATAAGATGTATATGACTTTTAAAACCAGAACTTCTTCAATAGTTATCTTGTTACTATTGCACACCCACCTGGGCAGTGAATCTGGTCATAAAGTACACTCTAAAGTCTTCTGCTTCATTTTTTAATCCTTGAGCCCTATGATGCATCAGCTCTATTTGGGAATACTCTTCATTTACCTTAAGAATCAACCCAATTTTGCAGAAAACAACAGAGAAGACACATAATATTCAAAGAAAGAAAAGTTAGACTAAAGCTGAATTTTCAGTGGTTGGGAGAGGAGTGAACAGGATGGGGACAGAGAAGACAAGGGAGAAGAATTCATGCCTATAATCCTGGCTTCCCAGGAGGATCACAGTTTGAGACCAGCCTAGATAAAAGTTTGGAAGACTTCATCTCAAACAATAAGCTAGGTGTGGTGGCAAGCATCTGTCATCCTAGCTACATGGAAGCTGCAATCAAGAGGACTACAGTTTCAGGCCAGTATAGTGATAAAGAGATATCACCTATCACTCTAGCTACAAAAGGAAGTACAAATAGGATCAAGGTCCCAGCTGGCTTAGGCAGAAAGTGAGACCCTTTCTAAAAATAATCAGATTAAAATGGGCTAGATGCATGGCTCAGTGTGGTGTGCCTGCTTAGCAAGCGCAGAACCTTGAGTATTTATTTAAAAGAAAAAGATTAAAGAAGAGGAGGAGGAAGAGAAAGAAGAGGAGGAGAAGAACAAGGAAGAGAAAGAGATCAAGGAAAAGAAAAGGAGAGAGGTAGGAAGGAGAAATTCAAAAGAAAAAGGAATGGCATCTTCTAAATACTGAAATAAAGTAACTACCAACTTAGCATGTTAAGCATTCTAGAGACACTTATAAATAAAATAGCCTGAAAAGGCTTATTAAATCAAATCAAATCAAATCGTTATACTGCATTTACTTACTGGTATCGTGATTAAATTCCACAACTTTCACGGTAAATAATTTTCTGTATTTTAAACTTTATAGTGATAGTATTTAAATACATGAAATAACAATTATATAACCTACTTGGAAAAAGTTTTTTGAGCATTGTTAGTCTTACGGTAATGGAAATAACTAAGAGTTTTACACTAAGGTTCATAAACTTTTTTTTTTTTTTTTGCTGGGGCTGGGCTTGAACTCAGGGTCTGGGCTCTGTCCCTGAGTGTCTCTTTGTTCAAAGCTAGCACTCTATGCTTGAGGCACAGTGCCACTCCCAGCTTTCTCTGAGTAGTTTATTGGAGATAAAGAGTTTCACACACTTTCTTGCCCAGGCTGGCTTAAACTGCGATCCTCAGATCTCAGCCTACTGAGTAGTTAGGATTACAGGTGTGAGCCACTAGGTGCCCGGCTCATAAACTATTTACAGCCATTTATGTTATTTTTCAGCTGCTTTCTAGAAATTTTATACAACAGCTTTGTAATACTTCACAAAATGAACAGCATTCTTTCAGAAGTAATTTTCAAAGCAATAAACGAAACTATTTGGAAAATGCTTTAAATGCTTTTTTAGGTAGCCCCTTGAAACGCTAAATAATTGAATGGCAAGTAGTGAAAGAAAAGTATATGAAAACAAAGTTCTGGCCAACTGAAATTCAACAACCAAAAAAATTATACACTATGATCAAATTCATCCTAGGGATGTAAAGTTGACTAAATATATGTGAATCAATAAATGTAAAACAATACATGAACAGAAGCAAGAACAAGAACTACATGATCATCTCAATAGACGCAGAAAAAGCTTTTGACAAGATCCAACTCCCTTTTATTATAAAAGCTGTGGAGAAGCTAGAATACATGGGGCAGTCCTCAATTTAATAAAGGCTGTATATTACAAACCTACAGCAAACATTAAGTATACAATAGTAAAAATCCAAAACTGTTTCCTCTGAAATCAGGAATGAAACAAGGATGTCCATTCTCTCCACTCCTCTTCAAAGTATAGTACTGGAATTTCTAGCAAGAGCAATAAGGCAAGGGAAAAACATAAAGGGGATCCCAAGAGGGAAAGAAGTAAAAACTACCTCTTTTTGAAGATGGCATGATCTTGTATATAAAGGACCATATAGTCTCCTCCTGCAAGCTACTAGAGCCGATCCTAAACTTTGGCAAAGTAGCAGTTTATAAATTCAACCCACAAAAACCAGAAGCTTTTCTGTATGCCAACAGTGAGAAGATCGAGACTAAAATAAGGAAAGTGGCCCCATTTATAGTACCCTCAAAAAAACAAAAACAAAAACAAAAAACCCTAATTAACTGAAGATGTGAAGGACCTCTATTGTGAAAAACTTCAAAAATTTGAAAAAAAAAAAAGGAAACTGAAGAAGATATAAGGAAATGGAAAGACCTTCCATATTCTTAGACTGGAAGAATTAGCATCATGAAAATGGCAATTTTGCCCAAAGCAACTTACAAATTCAATGCAATGCCCATCAAAATCCCAAGAACATTCTTCAATTAAGTGGAGAAAGCAATTCAAAAACTCATGTGACATAACAAAGGCTAGCAAGAACAGGGTTGGAGGAATATCAATATCAAACTTCAAACTCTATTGCAAAGCCATACTAATAAAAACAGCTTGGAACTGGCACAAGAACAGTCCTGAGGACCAATGGAATAGAAGATCCAGAAATAAACCCACAAAACTATACCCATCTACTATTTGATAAGGGAGCCAAAAATATAGGTTAGAAGAAAGACAGCCTCTTCAACAGATGGTGCTGGCAAAATTGGCTATCCACATGCAGAAAACTGAAACTAAATCCTTATATATCAATTAAAAATGGACCAAAGACCTCAATGTAAGGTCAGAAACCATAACAATATTACAGGAAGAGGTATAGGGGAAACTCCAGGGCTCCTAGACACAGGTCAAAACTTTCTAAGTAAAGATCCAGAATCACAACAAATAAAGACTGGACAAATGGGATTGCATGAAAATTTCTGCATGACAAAGGACATAGCTAACAAGCTAAACAGAAAACCCACAGAATGGGAGAAGATTTTCTCCAGCTATACATCAGATAAGGGTCTAAAATCCAAAATATAACTAAAGCTCAATAAGTGCAATCCCCCAACTGTCAAGGAAATAACAACCCAATTAATAAATGGGCTAATGACTTAAAGAGAAACTTCTCACAAGAAGTAGTAAAAATCACCAATAGACACATGAAGAGACGCTTAGGATCCTGGCTATAAAGGAAATGCAAATCAAAACAACACTGAGATTCCACCTTAGTCCAGTTACAATTGCCAATATCAAGAAAACTAACAATAACAATACTGGTGTGGATATGCCAAAAGGGAACTCTATTACACTGTTGGTAGGAATGTAAACATGTTTACCACTCTGGAAAGCAGTACGGAAGTTCCTCAGAAAACTAAACATAGAGCTACCTTATGACCCAGCAATTCCACTCCGAAGCACAAACAAGGCCACACTAAAGCTACCAGCACAACCATGTTCATTGCAGTATTATTTACCACAGCCAAGATATGGAATCAGCCCAGATGCCTCTCAACAGACAAACAGTCAAGAAAATGTGATATATATACACAATAGACTTCTACTCATCCATCAGAAATAATGATATTTCACTATTTGTAAGGAAGTGGAAAGATATGGAAGAAATTTTATTAAGCGAAGTAAGCCAGACCAGGAGAAACATAGGTTGCATGTTTTCCTCATTTGGGGTAGCTAATGTGCCTATAAACCTGCAAGTAAACAAACTACGTGGTAAGCAAGGGGTTACAAATGAATTAACTGAAGTGTGTTAGACTCTATGGGGAGCACAAATAGTGTAATTCTTAAAAAAGACTAAGTCAGAGATCAACAAGTACCAGGAAATGGGTTCTTGCAAGAGGGGAGGATGGGGCCAAATGGAAAGGGGTAGAAGAATGCAGGGGGAAGTATGTGTGTGTGGGGGAGGGGGTGCGGGGGTGAGCATGTAGGCAAGAATTCATTGTTTATATATAGAATCAAGAGGGGAGGGGAGGGCCAAAGGAGAGGGCAAAAAAATGGGGGGGAGGAATTAAGGGGGAGAATACAGACAAGAATTCATTGCATATACCACAGATTTGAGAAATATAAAGTAAGGGGTGGGTAGAAGGGGGTGAAGATGTTGAAGTGATAGCACAGATCAAGATGCACTGTATACATGACCTGCTTAACAAATTGCCAAAAAATTCAATACATAACCTAAACTTAAGCAAAGGAAAGGATGGGTGAGAATGTTGAAAAGGGTGACATTGATCAAGAGGCATTGCATTTATAAACTGTTTGGGTGAATAGCAACTCCTTTGTACAATTACTTAAAAATAAGAAAAACATTCAAAAAATATAAAATGGGGCATAGTTCAAGGAAAAAATAACCTAAAATTGAGAAAGAATGGAGAATTTCTGTTTTATAACTAGCCAAGGTCTTTCAATCTGCTACTGTAATAATAATTAAATGCAATATTTTTACTGGAGGAAAAACCTAGAAATCATTTATAAATGCAAATCGACCAGCTCTTCTAATCTAAGATTATTGAAGCTCCTGGTCAATATTAAGATTTTTTTTACAACTGTTTTGCTAAAGACTGGTCAGCTTGAGAAATCTGAGGAAAAATTTCTTTGTAAGTATTTGAAATGTTGTTCATGCATATAGCTACTTCTATGTTTTATACAAAACCTTCTACATTCCAGCTATAGGTCAGGCAGTGTCAGTTTTTTTTGGCTATCACCTACCCTGATATCATTTCTAGTTATCAGTTCTCTAATGCAAATATGAAGTAGTTGTTATAAATTCTCCAGGTTTGGCCTAACTACCCCTGCTTACGCCAGGGGCCAGTCTCAGCCTGAATGTGACCAGCCAACTCAGAAAATAGGAAGAGAAAGAATAGTAGGAAATGAAATAAAGAAGAAAAACCAAAAAGTAACCTGGAAAAAGAAATTCAGCAAAACTCCCTCTAGAAGATTCCTGTCACAAAGAATTGTGACAAAAAAAAAAACTCTCCTCAGTGGTAGAGCGCTTGCCTTGCATGCCTGAGGCCCTGGGTTCGATTCCTCAGCACCACATAAGCAAAAAGAAAAAAGCCGGAAGTGGTGCTGTGGCTCAAGTGATAGAGCGCTAGCCTTGATCTGAAGAGCTGAGGGACAGCACCCAGGCCCAGAGTTCAGGCCCACAACCGGACCCCCCCCCCCCCAAAAAAAAAAAAAAAAAAAAACAACTCTCCATCATAGACATTCCCACAACTAGTAATCATACCCACAATTTCCATCACAATGCTTAATGAATACAAGTGACACTGAATCACTCACCTTATCAAGTTCACTTGTCAACTTTTTATTTTCTTCAGTTAGTAAAACTTTTTCTCGTTCATACTGTTGCTTGAACTCATTTTCAAATTCTTCCCTTTCACTTTGACTAATAATCAAAAACAAAAAGAAAACAAAGAACTGAAGCAAAGGTAATTGAAAACTTAAAATTATTTTTAGCATCGCTATATGGTACCTGACAAAAAGTGCATTCCAAGGATGTACAATACTGCAATGCTGACTGGTTTACTCATCCATTTGGCTTTATTTTTACAAACTGTTTTGGACTTTTCAGATAAGCCCTGCTTTCACAGATCTTACATTCCAGTACAGGGAAGATGAGCAACTAAAAGCTAATAACTGAGCTTAAGAAGTTCATTTCAGAAGTGATTTCAGTAAGTAGCATAAAGAAAATAAAATAAGGTAGTACAACAAACCCTTATCTGGGATGAGGTGGCAGAGACTGTATAATCAGGAAATATTTCATTAAATAAGCTACATTTCTAAATGAACATCAAAATTATCATCTGCCTCCTTACCTTCATTGAGGTTAAAAGATAAATTTAGTCTGAGACTAATTTTTCTTTGTATATCTGTTTCACAATAATCTTACAAAATTTAGTTAGAAGCCCTTACTTAAGATTGGGCCAGTCATTTTATAACCTTACTAATCTCACTAAAATAGTATTCTATGCTTTTACAAATAGCTAAAAATAAATTTGTACATGAATTTAGATATGTTTCAAAATTAATTCTGAAATTATTTCATTTATAGTAAAAATAGTACAAGGAATCCCTGCATTGACCACTTTGTAGTATATTCCATGTTTTACTTCTCCCCTTTACTGCCTTTAGTTACACTAGAAGAGAGCTCTGTAAGAACAGTGATTTTCCTTATCTGATTCATTACTGCTGCATCCTACTCCACACAAGGTGATCTGCATTTAGTGTTATAACATAATTTTGAACGAATGTACCAAAATGAGTAAATTGGGCTTCCAATGTCAGAAGAGAATGACAATGATATAAATTTGGTTGCCTGAAACCTAAGCAGCCAGTCATGGCATCCTGTGGGTCCTGTCCTTTCCAGAGACCTTCGGAGCCCAGCTCACTCTTTCATAAGCTCACCATCATCATATGAGTCCATCACTCTGGGCACAGGTGCCTTTCTCCTCCTGCTGTTTCCATACCATTCTAGCACAGTAGAGCAAGTGGTCGTTCCAAAATATAAATAGAATCATGTCCTGTTCCTTCAGTGGTCTTAGGATAAGGCCAGCTTCATAGCCTTGCCTCTGTTTTTCTTTCTGCCTCACTTCTCACATGAGCTTCCTGTCAGGCTTCCACCACAGTTAAGCAGCTTTCATTTTCCGAATGTGCTATGCTTCCCTTTGCCTTCAGGTCTAAGAACATTCTGTTCTCTCTGCCTTGGCACTCTTCCCCACTTCTTTCTTTCTTTCTTTCTTTCCTCTCTCTTTCTCTCTCTTTTTTTTTTTTTTGTTGGTCGTGGGTCTTGAACTCTGGGCCTGGGCACTGTCCCTCAGTTCTTCAGCTCAAGGTGAGCACTCTACCATTTGAGCCACAGCGCTACTTCCAGTTTTCTGGTGGTTAATTGGAGATAAAGAGTCTCATGGACTTTCCTGCCTGGGCTGGCTTTGAATTGCAATCCTCAGATCTCAGCCTCTTGAGTATCTAGGATTACAGACGTGAGCCACCAGTGCCTGGCTTTTTTTTTCTTATTTCTTACAGCTCAGCTGAGATAGTTTTGTCCAGAAAGCCTTAACTGTACCAAAGGAGCTTTCCTGTGTGCTTCTATTTTTATACACTTGCTTTCCTGACCTTCTGTACTAATTTTCTATTTACCAGTCTTGACTTTGGTCTTCTTGAGAAGTGAGATATCTCAGAGATATATGAGATATCTTTTACTTGTCTATCTCCAGTACTTGACCAACATACAACAGATACTCAGTAAATATGTACTAATGGATAAACAACTTGATTCTTACGTTTCTCTCCTTGTTTTTTCCAGTTTGTCTTTTAAAACCAAAATTTCCTTGTTGAGAGCAAGTTGCTGGCCTTCTGAATCATGTAGTTCTTTCTTTAGGTTTTTAATCTCATTTGCATGGATTCCTTCTCTTTTAGATATTTCTTCTTCATAAAAAATACTTTTCTTTTCCAAATCAGTTTTTAGTTTGTTTATCTCTTGCTGATGTTCTATACTGCATATTCCTGGTGAATAAGTAATTTGTTTCTGCTATAGAAATAAGAACAAAAGATTAGTTCATCTGTAAGAATAAGAAGATAACAAATAATTTATCCTTCCTGTATGAGTATACATATATCTGCGTATGAATTGACAAGGACAAATAGTAGGACTGTCAAAATTAAATAAAAATACAATTAAATAAGAGACAAATTACCAATAGAATATATGATTAGTAAACAGCCCACAAAAAAAAAATCAAGAAAAGCAAGTTGGGCACTCACACATGTAATCCTAGCTACTCAGTAGGCTGAGATCTGCAGATTGCAGTTTGAAGCCAGCCTGGGCAGGAAAGTCCATGAGACTCCTATGCCCAGTAAACTATTCAGAAAAAGCAGGAAGTAGTGCTATGGCTCAAGTGGTAAAGCACTAGCCTTGAGCACAGAGAAGCTCAGGGGCAGAGTCTAGGCCGTGAATCCAAGCCTCAGGACTGGCAAAAAAAAAAAAAAAAAAAAATCAAGAAAAGCAAAACCAGCCATAACTGCTTTCGTTTTTCTTATCTGCAGACATCTGTGGTATTTATAAAGTATCTCAAAATGATCTGCTAATTTCATGTCTAGGTATCTGGTCTAAAAAATGATAACAGAAAAAGCTCTGCTCATGAAAATTACAGTATTACAGAAGTAAAAACAAACCAAAATTTAATTGTAGAGGGCTGCTCATGTGGATATTATTCTTGGACTATTTATAATTACTAAAATTATGTACCTAATAATTTTTAGCAAGCAAAAATGCTTATTACACTGTTAAGTACACAAAGTAAGTGTTAGGGCTGAATTCTCTCTCCGAGATTTCTATGTTGAAGACCTAACCAGCAGTATGTTAGAACATGATCTTTTTTCAGGAAAAAAGGCATGTAAGTTGTAGAGTGCCTCTGTAGCTAGCATGAAGCTCAAACCTTTTCAGTTCAAACTGTGGTAATGAAAAATAAAAATGGTCTTTCAAGGTAATTAGGCTAAAAGGTTTTTACAGTGGGCCCTCACCCAGTATGAATGTGTCCCTATAAAAGAAGAAATGTGAGTCCAGCACCGGCGGCTCATGCATGTCATCTTAGCTACTCAGGAGGCTAATATCTGAGGATCACAGTTCAAAGCCAGCCTGGGCAGGAAAATCTGTGAGATTCTTATCTTCAATTAACACCAGAAAACTGGAAGTGGCGCTGTGGCTCAAGGGGTAGAGCCTTGAGTTGAAGAGCTCAGGGACAGCGCCCAGGCCCAGAATTCAAATCCCACGACTGACCAAAAAAAATTTTTTTTCAAGAGAATATTAGAATGAAAATACAAAACATCTGTGTATGAGGATTACAAAGTGAAACTCACTCAAAGTTGTTGAGTACAAGGGGACAGGGAGATGGGAAAGTGAGCAATGAGGAGTCAATCTGATTGAGTAACTGGACATGCATGTGTGAAATACCACAGTGAACCCCTCTAAATAATGTTAAATGTAATTGTCAAATGCAAATGTTATGTGAGTGTTAAATGTATGCTGCCAAATGTAAAGAGGTCACATCTGGGATGAAGGTACTAGCAGGAGGGTGAATTTGTTAAAATATTTTTATGTTCACATATGAAAGTGGAGCAAGAGGGTGGAGATGTGAGGGACCGTGACTGAGGAAGGTAAGAGCTCAAGTCCTTGTGCTGCACAGACTGCATCTGCTATGTTGTGCAGCATCATCAACCCCCTAAAACTCTGTGGCCACAAAGAATCCAGTTTCCCCTTTACCCACTCTGTTCTATTTTGTGTCTCTTAAAAATTTGGCCATTCTATGGTTATCATAAAACAAACAACAATAAAAATGTGGCTTTCTAGCTATGCCATGCAAGTGGAATCATGTATTATTTGTTCTTTTCTTTCACTCAAGGCTTTCCAGATTCAGCCATGCTGCAGCAAACTGCAGAATTTCATTCCTTCTCACAGCAGAGTGGCGGAGGCCTCGGCCTGCCCACACCTCAGGTTCTTCATCCATCTGTTGCTACGTCCACACTGGGCTGTTTGGGCTACTGCAATGATGCTTTCATGAACACTGGTGTAAATATTAGAGTACCTGTTTTCAACTATTTAGGCTATATTCACAGAAATGGGATTGCTTAGTCATACTGTAGTTTTGTGTTTACCTTTTTAAAGAAACAACAACTTGTTTTTAAATAGCATATGATTTCATAGTTCCATCAGTTATGAAGATATATTTTCCTACATCCTCACCCACATATTATTTTTCTTTAAATTTAGCTACCTAATAGTACAAAGTGATGTCTCATTTGGTTTTATTTCTATTTCCCTAATGATTAATGATGCTAAGTGTCCTTTTATTTGCTTCCTGGTCACATGTATGTGTCCTTTTGAGGTATGTTCATTAGGTTGTTTGTTTCCATTGTTGAGTTTAGTTCTTTTTATAACCTAGGTATTAATCCGCTACCAGATGAAAATTACACTGATAACTACACAGTACTGCAAAAATTAGTTAAGACCTAAATAGATGGAAAGACATTCTGTATTTATGTATAATAGAACTTGATACCACTCAAGTATCATAGTGGTATACAGATTCAACTTAGTCCCTATTAAATTCCAACAGCTTTTTCTTAAGAAACCTTCACATTCATGTGGGAATTCAAGGGGCCAAAACAGCCAAAGCAGTGTTGACAAAGGTAAAGTTGGAGGACACAAGCTTTTTTTTTGTTTTTTTTTGTTAATCATGGAGCCTGAACTCTGGGCCTGGGCGCTGTCCCTCAGTTCTTCAGCTCAAGGTTAGCCCTCTACCACTTGAGCCACAGTGCCACTTCCGGCTTTTTTTCTTTTTGCTTATGTGGTGCTGAGGAATAGAACCCAGGGCCTCATGCATGCAAGGCAAGCACTCTACCACTGAGCCACTTTCCCAGCCCGGACATAAGCTTTTTAATGACAAAGCTCACCACAAAAAAAAAAAAAAAAGTTGGATCCATCTCACAGTACATTCAAAAATTAGCTGAGAATTAACTAACATTAACACTATAACAATAAGACTTTTAGAAAATCCTGGATATGGCAATTAATTCTTTAAAATGACCCTAAAAAGCTGGGCACCAGTGGCTCACACCTATAATCTTAGCTACAAGGGAGGCTGAGATCTGAGGATCTAGGTTCAAAGCCAGTCCTGGGAAGGAAAAGTCTGTGAGACTCTTACCTCCAATAAACCACTCAGAAAACCTGAAGTGGCGCTGTAGCTCAAGTGGTAGAGTGCTAGCCTTGAGCTGAAGAGCTGAGGGACAGCACCCAGGCCCAGAGTTCAGATGCCATGACCGGACCCAAAAAAAAAAAAAAAAAAAAAAAAAAAAAAGCATATTCTGCTGTGTTTGGGAGAAGTTGGAAATAATACAAATGTTAGGTTAAGATGATTACAGTGTTGTTCAAAACTTCAATATCCTATTCTGCTTCTGTCTGTATGTTTTATGTATTACTAGAAATGGGATACTGAAGTATCTCTTAAATGTAGAACTATTTAGCCCTTCACATCTATTGAAAACTAAATGGAGTAAACATTTCTACAAACTTTAAAAGAGCCAAGTATGTTTTAAAATTTGTATGTTTTAACCAAGAAGCCTCACTTTCAGAAAATAGCCTGAGGAGAGAATAGGTGTAAATGTAAAGAAGGTATAGCAGGGAACCGTTGGCTCACATCTTTAATCCTAACTACTCAAGAGGCTGAGATTTGAGGATCAAGGTTCAAAGCCGATCCAAGCAGAAAAAGTCCCCATGAGATTCTTTTTTTTGGTTGGTTGTGGGGCCTGAACTCTGGGCCTGGGTACTGTCCCTCAACTCATCAGCTCAAGGTGAGCACTCTACCACTTGAACCACAGCTCCACTTCGGGTTTTCTGGTGGTTTATTGGAGATAAAGAGTCTCACGGACCTTCCTGCCTGGGCTGGCTTTGAACCGAGATCCTCAGATCTCAGCCTCCTGAGTAGCTAGGATTGCAGGCATGAGCCACCGACACCCAGCTTCCCATGAGAATCTTATCTCCAATTAACCACTGAAAACCTGGAAGTAGAACTGAGGCTCAAAGTGGTAGAGCACTAGCCTTGAGCAAAAGAGCTCAGGGACAGCACCTAGGCCTTGAATTCAAGCCCCACAACCCCCCCCCCCCAAAAAAAAAGAGGGTAGGGAGAACCATGTCATGTTTTCTGCTGATCTTATGACACAGCTCTGTACAGGAAGAGCCACAGTATACATCCTGTACACAGAATAGCATATAGATTAAGCTAGTGGAGCACATACCAGCCCTGTTACTCTCCACCAGAAATGCTTCATCTTTTGCCAGCCTATACTCCATACCTCTTTTACTCTAAAAGGCTTAGAAAAGGGATATATGATTGCCCTTTTATTTTATTAAATGATACAGACACAGAGATGTCAGCCTCTGCCATCACTGCTAGTATCATCATCTAACAGGATCAGTACTGCTAATATCATTGTCATTGTACACATGACAGCAAATGATGCAGACTCAGAATAAAGACAGTATTGTCTGAATAACACGAGTTCCTACACACAAAAAATTAACAAAACACCCAAATAAAAGGATATTCTGGTTGCAATCATAGCAAACACTTATGAAACTTTACTATCTATAAGCTCTTTAAATACATTATTTACTGGGTAGTTCTAATCTCAAATTTATGAATGTCTAAAAAGAGGGAACTATATGTGATTTGGAGTTTTCAATGTAGCGATATTTATTTTAGAAAAAAGTAAAAATTAAACTATTATATAGAACTTAGCACCAAGATTTAGAAAATGCAGAGGCTTCATTAGCTTTAGGAGAAATACACCTTTTGTGTGTTCTCATGTAAAGCAAGATTCCTGTGAGAAGGAATTACTGTCTGAAGTACTTTTTATCCCTCATCTACTTTTGTTCCAACAGTATTCTAAGTTCTTTAGGTAATGAAAAAGAACTATAAAGTATAAACAGGAAGAAAGCTTAGACACTTGCATTATTTAGTTTTCTCATTGCTCGGACTGAAATACCTGACAGAACAACTGAAAGGGAAGAATTACTTTACTTAGCTCATGGTTCCACCGATTTCATTTTATAGTCCTTGACACAGACTTGGAGTCTATGCTGAGGCAGAATGTCCTGGCAGCAGGAGGATGTGGAGGTAGAGGCTGTTTACCTCAAAACAAACAGCAGGCAGAGACAGGGAAGTGCATGAAGAACCCAGAGTCAGATGTCACCCTTAAGGACATGCCCTTGATAACCTGCATCCTCCAGTTGGGTCCCACCTCTTCCTTTTCACCAATAATAATTCCATAATGTTATGAGTCCATTAAGAGATTCCTTCATTCATTGGGTCAGAGCCCTCATGATCTAATTGTCTCTGGCAACAACTTCAGACAAATGGAGAGTTGTGCTTTATCAATCTTGCAGGTATTCCTCAAGCTCATTAATTTGACAATCAAAATTAACCATTACAGCACTATTTTCTTTTAAGGAAATTGAGACACGGGAATCGAAAGATTTGTAGCCATGAATGACAATACTCATTCACAAAAGACAAAGGTCCTGGATACTGCTCACAAGCAAGTACATCCTGTTCAGGTAGGCAATCTTCCATAAATATCCTAATTCTAACTCCCTCTTAGTAAGCTCATATTCTCCACTAAACACAGACTTTCTCTTCAGCATGATTAAAAAATCTTGATGAGAATTAAGAATGACAATGAAGGACAGTTAGTTCTCATTCTACACCAAGTAAAGTATAAAAGCTAACACTCCTGTCATGCCTACAGAGAAGAAAATACAGAATGTGACGCCAAAGATACCTTCAGTCCTTCCAGCTCGTTCTCCAGTTGCTTCGAGTAGTGTTCGCTCTGCTCACGCAGCTTCCTGTCTTTAGATGCCTCGGCGACTAGAGCTTCCCTGTGAACTTCCAGCTTGAAAATTAAATAAAGATTTCAGACTTATAGTTTTTTTCCATCTTAAGTATTGAAATTCATAAAACATAGTACCACTAATGACTCTCCAAACAAAGAATGAGATGCATAGTTTTTCACTGATCTCAAAAGGCAGTGTCCATCACTACCCACGGGCACTATGAAATCTGCCTAACTACTAACCTCTTTCTTGGCTCTTTCTGTTCTGCGCAGCTCTTGCCTTAAGCTTTCAACTTTCTGCATCACTAGGTCCACCTCTTCTTCCTTATCTCGGACATGTCGAGCAAGTTTCTGTTTCTGGGTGTGTAATTCTGTTAGCCGCTCATTGATCTCCATGAATTCCTGCATGGCCAGTTTCCTCTGACAGTGTGCGTCTTTCAGCTCTTTGGATTGGTTTTTTAATCGCTCACTAGCCTGGACTAGTTCCTACAGTTTTGTAAAAAGAATATATGTTACCAATTCTGCAACTTAAGAGACCAAACTGGCCATCAAAGTGCTATCATTAAGCCAGGAAGGATCACAATGATTCACTTAAGGACATCATTAAGGGATACGAACAATGTGGGGCTCTGTTTATACTTTCTTACATGGTAAGTGCAAGGGAGCAAGGGACTTAACCTTGGTTCCACAACTGAGAGAAAGGGAATAGAAGACATAACCTGAGATTCCCTCATTCAGAGCTAAAGCAATGCCCATCAGGGCAACTCCCAGTCTCACAACAAAAAGAATGCATATTTTCTTTGGAGGGAAGAAGCTCAAGGAATTTTAATTTTTCACACATGAAGAACGAACAAGTAAGAGCTCATAAGCACAGACTCCCAAAGACTCAAAGAATAAACCTCCCTAATCAAACAATAGGAACAACAGAAAATAAGTAAGAAAAGTATTTGGGTATTGGAATAATCAGATATCAGTGTAAGATTGTTATGAATGAACTATTTGAAGAAATAAAAGCATGATAAAAATGACAAGATAACAAAGGATTACCATAGGTTTACAAAAGAACTTTATCAAGCCTTAAGAAATGGAAACAATGTGTTTAAAATGAAAGACATGGATCCATCATGTCTTTCTACATTTATGAAGCAAGCAAAAGGAAAAAGAAACCAAACCCAGAAAAACTGAAACTGGATAACACCAGAGAAATAAACTTAAAAAGATGAGTATGTATATGTTGTGTACTTGACAAAATCGCTTACTCGCCACTCACAATCAGACTCAGAACAGGCACAGGAAGTAACAACAGCAAAGAAAGAAAATGTTTACAAAGAAATGAAAACTACTATTGTACGGTCAGAAAAATTACTTTCAAGTATAAAGATTCATATATACAAAAGTAATAGTTTATTAAATCAGATCTGTACTATAAAAATCTTAATTTTATTTTAGAAAAAAACATTTCAGAAGTAACTAGAACACAAGAAAAATGGAGGACTAAGAAACTAGTAGCTAATGTAAGCATGAGAAATGTATATGTATGATTATATTATTAAAATGTCTAATTTTTACAATAAAGGAAATAATTACTAAAATATTTGTCAAAAACAGTATATAAATAAAACAGTAGTAAATGCTCTTATGTTACTTAGGGGCAGTAGCTTAAGATACTAAATTTAATTTAATTGTAAATATATATGGCAAAATGCAAACCTAACTCCAAAAGAATAGAAAATACAAACCAAAAGCCAAAATACCTATAAAAAGATTTGACAAAAAATTGAGACTGGTTGTATACAATATGTATGTATTTATTACTATTAAACTGCATACTTAAAATGTTAAGTTGGTAAATATTGTGTGACATGTATTTTATATTACATTTTTTAGTGAAAGGAGAACAAAGGAAGCATAGGAAAGTGTGACAAATAGAAAGCCAAAAGTGGTAGAAACATATCCACAAACAGTAGTAATCATAGTAGATATAGAAAATGGCTAAACTCACCAGTTAAAGGTACTTATACCAGATTAAGAAACAAAATCTAAACTTTAGCAGAAAAAAGGATTGTTAGGACAGGAATATAACTAAAATAACACAAAATTCAACATCATTATAAAATTCTGTGAATTTTATAAGATAGTCTTAAAATATATTAAAAAGAAATTACTAGAATTTCAGAGAAAATTGGTACACTCATCACTACGACTAGAAATTTCAATTTTTAATTATTAATATTTAAATCGAGCAGTTAAAATAGTGACTAGGAAGAATTATGTCAAAAGTTCTCTACAAGCCTCATATGTATAGAAGTTTGTATCCTGTATTTGAAATGCACTCTTTTCAAGAATATGCATTGAATATTTAAAAAATGAAACTAAAGTCTTAACTATGAAAGTCTAATAGATTTCACAGAACAGATATCATATAGATCAAGTTCTTAGATAACATTGCAATTAATAATGAACAATAAAAAGATAACATCCTACATTGAAATTGTAAAATACACTTACAAGAAATTCACTTGTCAGTGAAAAAAACCCACAGATTAAAATATTTAAAACTAAAAAAATTAAAGATACAGAAACAAACAGAAAAATGTTTAGTACATTATAAAACTTGATGATGCAGTAAAGCTCTGTTTAGTGGGGGACTCACAGCCTGAAATACTTGGAAAGGAAAAACCAGGTTGCAACTCAATGATTCTTCTTAAGGAAGTTTGAAATAGAGCAGTCATAGTGACTATAAATGGATGTAACAGAAAGAATACTAATGATCAACAAAGCCAAAAGTGATTCTTTGAGGTGTTGATCAGGGGAACAACATGCAGTCATAGAAAATAAAATAAGGAAAGCAAACAGAGGCCATAACTACAAATCTAGAGGAGATCAAAGGAGATACCAGGAAACCATAAGAGAATTCCATACAATACATCTGTTATTATAAAGTGAACAATTTCCCAGAAAACTGCATTCATCAAAACTGTTTTCAGTTAATAAAGTAACAGACCCAATTGTTATCCGAAGTGCCCGTCCTCACAGTGGTGTGGGAGACCTTAGCCCCCTGGTCCTCCCAGCCAGTGGCTCCTCCACGGAGCACTGCTCCTACACATGCTGCCCAAGAGAATAAAAAAGAAGCAAAGCTGCCCCCATTCTTCCTGATATTAATATCTTCTGAATATGAAAAAAAGCAAGAAAGGTAAGAGAAAAAATTGTAAGCCAACTTCACTCAGGAAAACAGTGGTAAGGATTCTTTTTAAATGAGCAAATCCTTTCCAGTGATGTACAAAGCTGACACATATAAACATCTGGTGTAGATTCTTTGTGTTGAAGTCCAGCTCCATCTCTTTCTATCCCAACTACACTTGAACAAAACAACTCCTCAGGACTCAGTCTCACCATTAATAAAAGGAGAATAAAACATAGTAATAATACCTAACCTGAGGGAGTTGTGATAAAAATTAAACAATATTAAGATATATTTATAAAGCACTGGTAATAGTGCTAGAATAACCTGCAACATGAACATGACACATGCTACCATTTATTTAGTACATAATGCATGAGTAATTTGGGCTTAACTCAGAAATGCATTAGAAGTACGAAGTCTATAATGTAAGTCACTATATCAATACATCAAAGGAGAACCCCAAAGCTACATCAGTGGTGTACACTGGTGGTCATAATGACATAAATACCAAAGATGAAACTTGTAAAAATTAGGATAGAAGCCAGGCATTGGTGGCTCACACTTGTAATCCTAGCTATTCAGGAGGCTGAGATCTGGGGATCATAGTTCAAACCCAATTAACCACTCAAAAACCAGAAGCAGTGCTGTGGCTCAAAGTGGGATAGCGCCAGCCTTGAATGGAAGAACTCAAGAACAATGCCTAGGCCATGAGTTCAAGCCCCACAACTGACAAAAAATAAAAATAATCAGGATAGAAATGTTGGAGAATTTTTTAACCACTTACTTCCTATACCAACATAAGTAAGTATATATAAATCAAAATACTGACAAACAATTACACAAAAAAATAAGAGTTTTGGGCAGAGTCTATGCTCAGTAGTAGAATGCATTCCTAGCAAACACAAGGTCTAAGCTCGAATCCCAGTACCTGAAAAATTAAAGTAAGTACAAAGACAAGCTGGGTATCTTTTTAATATTCATAACTACTGAAATGTTATTCTGACCAGAAATTTTGGAATTCTTATAAGCCAGTAAAAAAAAGACAAACAACCAAACAGAAAACTGTATTAAGGACACTTAGTACTGTACTAAGGAACTTCACTAAACAAAGAGTTCAAATAGTGGACAGTACAAGTGATCAAAGAAACCTGACAACCTCAGTAGAGAAATGCAAATGAAAAACAATAAATTCATTTCAGTCTTAAAAATCTCAATTTAGAGTAGTCTGGTCCAAAGGAAAACCCAGTAATGAAATGTTGTTGAACACAGAAACTCCTATACATCACTGGAAGAATGTAATAGGTGTTACACTAGGAGCCAACCTGGCATTATCATAAAGAACAGAATATCTGCTAACTTAGAAACGGGCAAAGGACATTTTGCCAAGGAAGACAAAGAATTAGCCAATAGGTACATGAAACAGTGCTTAATATCAATAATCATTATAGACGTTAAAATCACCCAGCTGTTACAATGGCTACTATGAAAAAAATATTCAGGCAGCACAAGTTGGCAAGGACATGGAAAAACTGAGATGCCTCTCTACTGTCTACAGACTATTAGCTAAACCACTTACAATTTTGTACTGGAACAATCTGTTTCTTTTCAGCTCTACCTTTCTCCTGTTAAAAGGGTCTGGCATTAAAATTTACTTGAAACTGCCAAAATACCTATTGCCATAAACTGAGAATTCGGAATTTCATTATTTTGTTAACTAAAATTTACTAATGCTACCAATAAATATAATCTAATAAGCCACTGATAATATTACAGCATTATTCTCAAAGCACTTAAAAAGCACATAAAATATGTAACATATGTCAAATGTTACTACACTGGCTATCAATTGAAATGATCTATACAATTCAAACTGCAGGAAGGGAAAATAAAAATCAGTCTTTATTTTACTTTTTTTGTGCCAGTTACTAGGGTTTGAATTTGGAGGCTTTTTGTGCTCAAGGTTAGCACTCTACCACTTGAGCAACAGCTCCACTTTCAGCTCATTTGGTAGTTGGCTGGAGGTTAAGAGTCTTAGTGGCTGAGCTGGCTTCAAACTATGATCGTAAGATTTCAGGCTCAGGCTGGGAGGGTGGCTCAGTGATAGAGCGCTTGCCTTGCATGCCTGATGCCCTGGGTTCCATTCCTCAGCACCACATAAGCAAAAAGAAAAAAGCCAGAAGTGGTGCTGTGGCTCAAGTGGTAGAGTGCTCGCCTTGAGCTGAAGAGCTGAGGGACAGTGCCCAGGCCCAGAGTTCAGGCCCCACAACCAGACCCCCTCCACCCCCCGCCCCCCACAAAAAAAAATTTCCGGCTCCTGAGTAGCGAGGATTACAGGTGAGAGCCAAGGGTGCCGACTCAAATTCACCCTTTAATAGCTCTACCAGGCCTTTTAATTCAACCTTTAATAGCTCTACCAGGCCTTTTAATTGACTTCTTTCCAAATGATCAAAATATTATGGACTTTAAAAGCAAAAAAACTTTTATTTTTACTTTCTTGTTTCTTTACTTGTAACAAGACTTACAACTTGTCCCCAACTCCAGTGGCTGCCTAGAAAGCATAATGCCTTGAATCTCTCTTAGAAGGACTTCACTCTATATTCATCAATGCATTGTATCTCATATCACTGAATTGTACTATGAACTACTGATCTTGTGTTTGAATTGGCCAGCAACAACCTCAAAATTCTTTTATTAATGAAAATCACAGTACTTAGTAGCATCTAGATCAAGTTTTCTGATCATGTTTAGGTTTTATACAACATTTTTACAAAAGTGACTTGAGCTTGTTTAATTGTGCTGCTTTGGAAGAAAAATTGACATTTAGAAAAATCATTGAAGACATTCTAAAGAAATGTTCCCATCAGTAAATTATAATGAAAAATTTGTCAAGGAAGTGGCACTGTGGCTCAAGTGGTAGAGAGCTAGCCTTGAGCTGAAGACAGCACTGAGGCCCAGAGTTCAAGCCTCACAACTGACAAAAAATAAATAAATAAATAAATAAATAAAAGCACGTGGTTTAAAAAAACTAAATTTGTCCATATTTTTACTTTTTAGACACGAAACATATCTTACTGTTCCTTAACTTCCTCATAATACTCTTTTTCTATAGTAACACTTATTTTAATCAAGTTCTCTGATGAACTTTCCAAATGCATAAAAGATTCTGAACTTTAGGGCCTCAAGAATGTAAGATTCTTTGTTAATAGCTAATAATCAAATGATATACATTCAATAATTCTTAAGTTCTTAAACCAAATTTTAAAAAGAAGTATTTTTGTTATAATTCATATGAATGGTTTCATTCTTCTAGTTGTTCAAGATGAGGAGTAGGAGCAGCCTTTACTAACATACTCTGTCATATTTACCTTATTCAGCTCCTCCCTCTCCTGTTGTAAGATTTTGATTTGTTTTTCACAAGCTTTGATTTGTCTGAAAGCATCATCGAGTTCCCGCCTTGCAGAATTAGCTTCTTCAAGTTGCTGTTCCAAATGACTTGATTCTAAAAACAAAACCAACATTTCTTTTACTATTTCTATCAAAGCAAATTCATGATTAAACTCATGGTTTAAAACAACCAAATTTTATTTTTAAAAGATATCTGAATTTGTCATTGTGGCTATGAATACCACATCCCAGTATGACTCACAATAAGTTAAGAATATCAACTCATGTAAGAAATATTTCTATGTATTCAAACGTTTTTTTTCTTTCATGTATTCAAATGGTTTTTTTCTTTCATGCGATTGTTTCTAACATTTATAAGATTATTTCTTTGTTGCTTTGTATGTCCCTCCCTCCCCCACAGTATAACCCCGGCTTTCATTATATTTGAATTTGTGGAGGAGCAGGGGAAAAACAAATCGTTTAAATAGGGATACAGGTGGACCCATTGCAACAATGAGATGTACAAGCCGCTATGTCGAAAACAAACTTTACAACTTTGGTGGGGGGGGGAGGGGGAGCGGGGAGGATTGGGTGGTGGGACAGGAGGAGGATGGGAAGGGATGGGAAGGGGAAACAAAGGAGGAGGCTACAATGCTTGATAAGAAATGTACTCATTATCTTGCCCATGTAATTGTAACCCCTCTGTACAGTATTTTCATAATAACAAAAAAAAAAGAAATGTAAAAACAAAAAGAAAAAGAAATATGTCCATGTAGAGAGCTACAATGTTCATATGCAGAAATAATTTACATATTTACTAGGAAAAAAAGGCCATGCTTTCAAAATCCTTACCTTCAGACTAATTAAAAACTTTAAATTAAGAAAACACGAAAGGAAAAATGATAGAGGGGGTTGGATTGATTGGAAAACATTGTAAATGTGTAGAAATGCAGAAATGAAACACCCTCCTGTTTAACTCATGGAAAGCACCACAAAACCAACTACCCAATCCCCAAAAATGGGTTCCTTCTACTCATGGTAAGTACCCTAAAGCTGATGTCAATCCAATTAATTTTAGATGCTTTTTCTTAGAGTGTGATTCTAGATTATCCAGCCTAGTTTCAGCACTTAAAAAATAGTCTTGGAAGCTGGGCACCGGTGGCTCATGCCTATAATCCTAGCTACTCAGGAGGCTGAGATCTGAGGATCATGGTTCAAAGCCAGCCCAGGCAAGAAAGTCTGTGAGACTCTTATCTCCAATAAACCACTAGAAAACCGGATGGCGCTGTGGTTCAAGCGGTAGAGCGCTTGCCTTGAGCTGAAGAGCGCAGGGACAGCGCCCAAGCCCAGAGTCCAAGCCCCATGACTGACCAAAAGAAAAAAAAATAGTCTTGGATTTTTAAAAGATCTAAAAACCTCTGGTATAAATTGGTTCTTTCATTTGTTCAGATGAAGTAACTCAAGGGTTGAAAGATTGTTCTCGTCACATTTCCAAATGCATACCAGAGAAAAGAACAAATCCAAGCAACTTGGTGCTAACTTCTTAAACTCATAACCACTATGCCATTAAATAATACTGGACCTGAGGCTTAATCGTATATTAAAATTTGACTCCTGATAATCAGAAATAACAAAATGTATCATGTACTAAATGACTCTACATTATAATTTGCTGACAGCACTCTAAATTTATAGATACATTAAAAATCATGACATTTTACAAGGCTATGATAAGCACAGTTTTGCACAACTTTTGAAGATACATGCAAAGATATATTTAACTGCGTTTTATTCTTTTTCCTACTTTTTAAAGTTAATATCATTTAGTTGTAAATGAGTTTCATTTTTATATATCTGTATATGCAAACAATGTATCTTAATCAGACTCATCCTTTCCATTATCCTCTCTTATGCCCACTTCTAGTAGTAGTCTTTACGTAAAGAAAATGAAAGATCCTAGGGTGTTTGATTTTAAGGATCTCTTATTGATTTTTAAAAATTATGGCATTTCAGCATTACAAAGAATACTAAGAGGGGGGAACACAACCTGAAGAAAGCAACCAGGAACAGGGACCTGCACCCAGACAGGTATTAATAGAAGTCTAACTGAGCAAGCACAGGAGGAAAGGAAAGAAGAAAAACTTAGGAAAACAGGGAATGACAGGGACCACAATGCATCTCTCCATACTATCTCTTAATATTAACGGTCTTAATTCACCAATCAAAAGAAAAAGAACTGCAGATTGGATCAGAAAACATGACCCATCCATCTGTTGCCTTCAGGAGATCCACCTCTCAGCCAAACATACAAACAAACTCAGAGTGAAGGGGTGGGAAAGGATCTACCAATCAAATGCCCCCAGTAAGAAAGCAGGTGTAGCTATCCTGATATCTGACAAAATAAACTTTTCATTAAAATCAATACAAAAAGACAAGGATGGACACTACATACTAATACAGGGAACAATCCAAGAGGAGGATATTACCATCATCAACTTATATGCCCCAAACATTGGCACACTCATAAATGTTAAGCAAATACTCTCAAACGTACAGAATAAAATAGATCCCAATACGATAATACTAGGAGACTTTAACACTCCACTCTCACCATAGGACAGGTCTACCAACCAGAGGATTGGCAAAGAAGCTATCGAATTAAGTGAGGCCACACTTCAAGTGGAATTAACTGACATCTACCAAGTATTTCACCCTAGAACAATACAGTACACATTCTTCTCAGCAGCTCATGGAACTTTCTCCAAAATAGACCATATCATAGTTCATGCAAGGAACTTAAACAAATACAAGGGGATTGACATAATCCCCTGTATCCTATCTGACCACAGTGGAATCAAGCTAGTTCTCAATAACAAAGCATACCGCAGAAATTACTCAAATACATTGAACAGCACACTTCTAAGCAATGCCTGCGTAACAGAAGAGATTAAAGAAGAAATTAAAAAATTCCTACAACTCAAGGAAAATGAAAACACATCACAAAGAAACTTGTGGGAGGGGCTGGGGGTTTAGCCCAGTGGAAGGGCGCCCGCTCAGCACGCGCAAAGCCCTGGGTTCGGTCCTCAGCCCTGGAAAAAATAAACAAAACTTGTGGGACACAGCAAAAGCAGTCCTGAGGGGCAAATTTATTGCTCTCAGTGCCCACATCAAGAAAATAGAGACAGACCAAGTAAATCATCTCATGTTGCAATTAAAACAGCTAGAAAAAACATGAAAAAGTGGAACCTAAAGTTACTAGATGGAGCCAGATAACCAAACTAAGAGCAGAGATTAATGAAATAGAGAATAAGAGAATCACAGCCAAAATTAACAAAACAAAAAGCTGGTTCTTTGAAAAAATAAATAAAATTGGTGGACCATAGGCAAGATTAATTAAAAAAAGAAGAGAGGAAACCCGTATTAACAAGATTAGAGATGCCACGGTAAAAATCACAACACGTACCCAAGATATCCAAACAATTTTAACGGACTACTTTCAAAAGTTATACTCTCTAAAGAAAGAAAACCTGGCAGAAATGGATGCATTTTTAGAGAATTACAAGTTGCCCAAACTAAGCAAAGAAGAAGTAAATCAATTAAATAAGCCAATATCCTACAACAAGATACAGGAAGCAATCAGAAGTCTTCTAACAAAGAAAAGCCCAGGACCAGATGGATTCACAGCAGAATTCTGTAAGACCTTTAAAGAAGAACTAATACTCATAATCCTCAAGCTCTTCAGAGAAACAGAGAAGGAGGGAGCTATCCCAAACTCATTCTACGATGCCAATATCATACTCATCCCCAAACCTGGCCAAGACCCAACCAATAAAGAGAATTACAGGCCAATTTCCTTGATGAACACAGATGCAAAGATCCTTAACAAAATTCTAGCTAACAGAATCTAAAAACACATACAAAGAAATCATACACTATGGCCAGGTAGGCTTCATCCCAGAGATGCAGGGATGGTTTAACATACATAAGTCAATAAATGTAATCCAACACATCAACAGAGCCAAGGTCAAGAATCACATGATTATCTCCACAGATGCAGAAAAGGTCTTTGATAAAATTCAACATTCATTCATGCTAAAAGCTCTGGAGAAAATAGGAATAGAAGGAACATTTCTTGAAACAATAAAAGCCATTTATGACAGACTAATAGCCAATATTATACTTAATGGGGAAAAGCTACAACCAATTCTCCTAAAATCAGGAACAAGGCAAGGATGCCCACTGTCTCCACTCCTCTTCAATATAGTCCTGGAACCCTCAGCCAGGGCAATAAGGCAAGAAAAAGACATTAAAGGGATCCGCATAGGGAAAGAACAAGTTAAAACTATCCCTTTTTGCAGATGACATAATACTATACCTTCACAATCCCAAAAACTCCATCCCCAAACTTTTAGAAATCATAAATCACTTCGGCAAAGTAGCAGGATACAAAATCAACCCACAAAAATCAGTCGCCTTCCTATACACTGACAGTGTACAAGCAGAGAGGGAAATAAAGGAAGCAATCCCATTCACAATAACCTCCCCCAAAATAAAATATTTAGGAATTAACCTAACCAAAGATATAAAAGAAGTATTTAATGAAAACCATAAAAAATTAAAGAAAGAAATTACAGAAGACACTAGGAAATGGAAAGACCTCTCATGCTCTTGGATAGGCAGACTTAATATCGTGAAAATGGCAATACTGACAAAATATACAAATTCAATGCAATTCCTATAAAAATCCCAATGACGTACATCTCTGAAATACAGAAAACAGTCCAAAAATTCATATGGAACAACAAAAGACCTAGAATAGCCAAAACAATTCTAGGGAATAAAGACAACATGGGAGGGATATCCATACCAAACTTCAAACTCTACTATAGAGCCCTAATAACAAAGACAGCATGGTACTGGCAAAAAACAGACCTGAAGACCAATGGAATAGAAGAGACTAGAAGATCCAGAAATAAATCCACATGCCTACAGCCAGCTGATATTTGACAAAGGAGCCAAAGACATACAATGGAAGAAACACAGCCTCTTCAACCACTGGTGCTGGGAAAACTGGGCAGCCACATGTGGAAGACTAAATTTGGACGCCAGCCTATC